TGCTATAAACACGGGGGTGCATGTGTCCCTTCAAAACAGCACACCTGTATCCCCTGGATAAATACTTAGTAGTGCAATTGCTGGGTTGTAGGGTAGTTCTATTTTTAATTTTTGAGGAACCTCCATACTGTTTTCCAGAGTGGCTGCACCAGCTTGCATTCCCATGTCCTGGTATTTTAAATGGACATTAGTCAGTAAGAGGCTCTGGCAACTTTTTGAATGGCAGATAAAATTATTTCTTAACAACCATTCCTTAGGAATTAGGTCCCATATTTTTTTTAGTCTCCCCTGCAGTCATGAGGGCCCATAAAAGGAATTTTGTAGAGTACACAGTGATAGCAATGATGTTTTCTAGAAATGATGAATTGGAAGTGGATGGCTGTCATGGGAAAGAAAGGAGGATAGTGCTCTATACAATGTTATTTGGGAACCAATAGTTTAAACTCATTTCACTGCTAACACACATAGTATGAGCTTAGAAATACATTAAAAAACAATGTTATTTCCAGCAACCACACAATTACCACAGATGAGATATATAATGTATTTACTTAAGTATCAAATTCTTATATATTCACTGAGGTATACCCGGCACAATCTTTTTGTCTTTATATAAAATATTCTTATTCCATTCCTAACAGTAGAATTTGCTCTATAATTATAGGCTAATTTTCATCTGAGCTTGGGACTATTACCATCCTTAAATTTAACTTACCTCTTAGTTCTGGCATCATGAGTTTCTAAGAAATGTCTTTGGGCCTCATGTTTAGAATGATGATCTGCAGCTAATGCAATATCAACAGTAATGAGTCCTAAATTGGCTGACCCAGCTTCAAGCCAATAGGCCCTCCGTAGCACTGCAGGCTGAAGTCCAACTCTGGAATTATTTAACTGTTCAATGTACTGTCTCACTTGAAAATCCTGAATTGCAGCACTTATTCCTTCCCCAACCGACTGATTGTGGAGATTACAGTTCGCAACTCGAATTGCACCCATCTAAATTGAATGAAGAGAATGAAATAAAACTGTGGTCTCCATATTCTTAATCAACTTAGAATAAACTATAGAATAGGCAATTATTTCAAACTGCATGAAAGACAGAAAAAGAAAAAGAAGGGAAACAGAAAAGATACATGCAACAGAATGAAAATAGACATTCAATTAAAAACAAAAAAGAGGATAAAAGGAAAAGAACATAAGTCCAAAGGAAAACAAAAGAGAGAAGGAGGAAAGAAAAGTTATAAGGGTAGGAAGTAATAAAAATTACAGACTCTTAATAAGGCTTAATTTTAAGCAGTAACCCATAAAGCAGAGGTGGCAAATAGATGTTTGCAAGAGCCAGGCAGGATATAAATATATAATACCTAAAGGCACTTAAAATCAAATCTTTTAAAAACACTGCCAATTTAATCTCTGCCATAAAAGCAAGCTACACGTTTACATCTCTGCCATAAAGCAAGGTCATGATAATTCAGTTAGAGTGAAATAGTAGTGAAAGAAAGTGCCTTAAGAAACACACCAGAAGAGAACACAGACAGGCAAAACACCAAGAGCTATCTCCTGGAATTCTGTAGTGTTTTGTGAGATGGCAAATTATAAATGTGTGTTCTATTTCAAGAAATGGAGGTATGGTTTGGTAAAAAGGAAAAAGAACTACACTAGCCAAGAAATAGACAAATGTGTACCTTTAGATTTGTAGCACAGCCATGCTCCACAATATAAATATCTGCTCCATCTACTGCTAAACGAGTCATAGTATATTTCAAATCATCTGAAGTTGGACAAGGCCCAGGAATACAGCTCAACTAAAATGGAAATGAAAGGAGTATTAATTTTTCAGCATTGATTCACCATTTAGATACTTATTAAATAAAATTCTGGCTACAGGTGTATTTTTAAAAAGTAGTCAATTAAATTTCATTTTTTATAATGATAAATGAAATCTTCAGTGATTAAAGTCTTGCCAATTAGAAACTAATCATAAGTAAGCATGTACCATTTCCATTCAAATGGGCAAGTAGCTGGTCTAAATTGACAGAATACATATATAACTTATTATTGAAACTCACATAGCCAAAGTAAACTGATAAGTAATAAGTGTCACTGGATTATAAGAACTGTACAGCAGTTTAAAATTGTAAGATTTTCTTATGAGTACTCTATATTATACACACACACACACAATCTTCTTTTTAGAAATATGTCAACTGTAAATTTTATTATGACGTCTAGAATAATCCACAGAAATTTAACATTGCTTTACTCCTTTTTTATTTTTAATTTTTTTTTTAATGTTTATTTATTTTTGAGACAGAGAGAGACAGAGCATGAACGGGGGAGGGTCAGAGAGAGAGGGAGACACAGAATCTGAAACAGGCTCCAGGCTCTGAGCTGTCAGCACAGAGCCCGACATGGGGCTCGAACTCACGGACTGTGAGATCATGAACTGAGCCAAAGTTGGACGCTTAACCGACTGAGCCACCCAGGAGCCCCAACATTGCTTTACTCCTAAAACAGATTTGGTCATGGTTAGGTTGGAAGAAAACATACATATCACCTACTTCAATGAACTTCTTGAGGGAAATGGCAGCACTGAGTAAATTATTGGCTCAATAACATGCAATTGCTCATTAGAGGCAGTGCTAGGACTAGAACACAGGTGTCTTGTCTTATAATCAGTTTTCTATAATAATAAGGCATACCTTAGAGATATTGCGGGTTGGGATCCAGACCACCGCAATAAAGCAAATATCGCAATAAAGCAAGTCAAATAAATTTTTTGTGGCTAAAATCAAAAACACAAGAAACAGCAAGTATTGGCCAGGATGTGGAGAAAAAACACTGTTGGCAGGAATGCAAACTGGTACAGCCACTATGGAAGACAGTATAGAGGTTGATGAAAAAATGAAAAATAGAGCTATCCTATGATCCAGTAATTGACTACTGGGTATTTACTCAAAGAATATGAAAACACTAATTCGAAAGGATATATGCACCACTATGTTTATTGCACCATTATTTATAATAGCCAAATTATGGAAGCAGCCTGAGTATCTACTAACAGATGAATGGATAAAGATGTAGTGTGTGTGTATACAATGGAATATTAGCATAAAAATAGAATGAAATCTTGCCATTTGCAACAACATGGATGGATCTAGAGAGTAAAATGCTAAGCAAAATAAGCCAGTTAGAGAAAGACAAATACCATATGATTTCACTTATATGTGGAATTTAAGAAACAAATGAACAAAAGGAAAAAGAGAGAAAACAAAAAAAGATTCAACTATAGAGAATAAACAGATGGTTGCTAGAGAAGCAGTGGGGGGGGGCTGCTGAATAGGCAGAGGGGATTAAGGGTACTCTTGATAAGTACTGAGTAATATATGGAATTGCTGAATCACTACACTGTACACCTGAAATTAATATAATACTACATGTTTTTATAGTGGAATTAAAATAAAAATTAAAAATATTATTAAAGATAAAAAATAATTTTTTTGGTTTCCTAGTGCACATAAAAATTACATTTACACTATTTACTATAGTCTAAATGTGCCACAGCATATGAATAGGAAATACGTACATGACTTTATTGCTAAAAAATGCTAATCATCATCTGAGCTTTCAGCAAGTCATAATTACTGATCATAGATCACTGTAACAAATATAGTAATGACAAAGTCTGAAATATTGCAAGAATTACCCAAATGTGACACAGATGGAATACACATTCTTCTTGAGTGCACATGGAACATTCTCCAGAATAGATCACATACTGGGACACAAATCAGCCCTCAACAAGTACAAAAAGATCGAGAGCATTCCATGCATATTTTCAGACCACACCGTGATGAAACTCGAAATGAACCATAAGAAAAAATCTGGAAAGACAACAAATAATTGGAGACTAAAGAACATCGTACTAAAGAATGAATGTGTTAACCAAGAACTTAAAGAGGAAATTAAAAAGTATATAGAAGCCAAAGAAAATAATAATACTAGAGCACAAAACCTCTGGGAAGCAGCAAAGGCAGTCATAAGAGGAGAGTATATAGCAATCTAGGCCTTCTTAGAGAAGGAAGAAAGGTCTCAGATACACAACCGAACCTTACACCTTAAAGAGCTGGAAAAAGAACAGCAAATAAAACCCATAACCAGCAGAAGATGGGAAATAATAAAGATTAGAGCAAAAATCAAAGCTATTGAAATAAAAAAAAACAAAAACAAAAAAACAGTAGAACAAATAAATGAAACCACAAGCTGGTTCTTTAAAACAATTAACAAAACTAATAAGCCCCTAGCCAGTTTGATCAGAAAGGAGGAGAGATCACAACCAACACTGCAGAAATACAAACAATAATAAGAGAATACTATGAGCAATCATATGCCAATAAACTGAGTAATCTGGAAGAAATGGACTAATTCTTAGAAACATATAAACTACCAAAACTGAAACAGGAAGAAATGGAATATTTGAACAGACCCATAACCAGTAAAAACACTGGATTAGTAATCAAAAATCTCCCAAAAAAAACAAGAGCCCTGGGCGCATGGCTTTCCTGGGGAATTCTACCAAATCTTTAAAGAAGCATTAACTCCTATTCTTTTGAAGCTGTTTCAAAAAATAGAAATGGAAGGAAAACTTCCAAACTCATTCTATGAGGTCAGCATTACATTCATTCCAAAACCAAAGACCCCGCTAAAAAGAAGAACTACAAACCAATTTCCCTGATGAACATGAATGCAAAAATTATCCACAAAATACTAGCAACCAGATCCAACAATCTACTGAAGGAATTATTCACCACAATCAAATGGGATTTATACCTGGGAAGCAGGGCTGGTTCAATATCCACAATCAATGTGGTACATCACATCATTAAAAGAAGGACGAGAACCACATGATCCTCTCAATAGATGCAGAGAAAGCATTTGACAAAATACAGCATCCTTTCTTGATAAAAACCCTCAAGAAAGTATGGATAAAAAGGTCATACCTCAAAATCATAAAAGCCATATATGAAAGACCCAACACTAATATCATCCTCAAAGGGGAAACACTGAGAGCTTTCCCCCTAAGGTCAGGAACATCACAGGGATGTCCACTCTCACCACTGTAATTCAACACAGTATTGGAAGTCCTAGCTTCAGCAATCAGACAACACAAAGGAAGAAATTAAAAGGCATCCAAATAGGCAAAGAGGAAGTCAAACTTTCACTCTTCATAGAGAACATGATACTCTATATGGGAAACCCAAAAGATTCCACCAAAAAACTGCTAGAACTGATCCGTGAATTCAGCAAAGTCACAGGATATAAAACAATGCACAGAAATTGGTTGCATTTCTATACACCAATAATGAAGCAACGGGAGAGAAATCAAAGAATCGATCCCATTTACAATGGCACCAAAAACCATAAAATACCTGGGAATAAACCTAACAAAAGAGGTAAGAAACCTATACACTGAAAACTATAGAAAGCTTATTAAAGAAATTGAAGAAGACACAAAAAACAAAATGGAAAAATATTCCGTGCTCATGGATTGGAAGAACAAATATTGTGGAAATGTCAATACTACCCAAAGCAATCTACACATTCAACGCAATACCTACCAAAATAACACCAGCATTCTTCACAGAGCTAGAACAAACAATCCTAAAATTTGTATGGAACCAGAAAAGACCCCGAATAGCCAAAGCAATCCTGAAAAAGATAACCAAAGCTGGAGGCATCACAATCCTGGATTTCAAGATGTATTGCAAAGCTGTAATCATCAAGACAGTATGGTACTGTCACAAGAATAGACACTCAGATCAATGGAACAGAACAGAGAACCCGGAAGTGGACCCACAAACGTATGGCCAACTAATCTTTGACAATGCAGGAAAGAATATCCAATGGAATAAAGACAATCTCTCCAGCAAATGGTGTTTGGAAAATTGGACAGTGACATGCAGAAAAATGAACCTGGACCACTTTCTTACACCATACACAAAAATAAACTCAAAATGGATGAAAGACCTAAATGTAAGACAGGAAGCCATCAAAATACTAGAGGAGAAAGCAGGCAAAAACCTCTCTGACCTTGGCTGAAGCAACTTCTTAATATGTCTCTGGAGCCAAGGGAAACAAAAGCAAAAATGAACTACTGGGACCTCAACAAAATAAAGAGCTTTGCACAGCGACGGAAACAATCAGAAAAACTAAAAGGCAACTGACAGAATGGGAGAAGACATTTGCAAACGACATATCAGATAAAGAATCTATAAAGAACTTATCAAACTCAAC